TTCAAACAATGTTGTTCCGATGAAGTTAGAAAGTTCTGACAGAAGATATGTAGTTTGTCAGAACGTCAGATTCTCATATGCAAGATACAGAATATTTTGACGACTTAGCAGAAACTTTGACACCTAACTTTTACAACCACTTGTTCTCATATTTTATGACATTAGATATTTCAAAGTTCAATCCAAGACAAATTCCACATACCGAAGAGAGACAAACATTGTTAGAAGCAAACAAGAGTGTATATGAACTGTTTATAGATGAAACTGACTTTGTGTCATTAGATGAAAGGTCATTGTACGATTCGTATAAACAATATTGTCAAGAATATGGTTATATGGCAGCTTCTAAACGAACATTCTTGGCAAATGTCAAAAGTCTTTTAGATGTTCAGAATGGTGTATATACAAAGAAAAATTTTTCTGAGTAAATTTTAAAAAAAATATTTTTTTATCCGATAGAAAAGATGGCAAAATTCATCTCAGTAAACAAGTACATGTCAGGACTTAAAGAAGAACTAGACCCATTCACATATTTGAATGTTTACTTCTACCATTTTGAAAAGTCTTCATTCAGCAAAGTTTGGAACATCGAACCAGTTAAGTTTGCTATTGTGACTAAAAACGGTGCAACTTTTGAAGACTTATACATTGACGGTATGTTGACAGTCAAAGAAAATTTTGACAGAAAGTTCTCAAAACTCGAAGAAGGTAAAGCATACAAACTTGTTATACCTTATGAACCAAAGAAAGCAGACGACTATGAATATTATGAGTCTAAGATAGTTGAAGTTCAAGGTAAATTGGGTAAAAAGATTTTAGAGTCTAAGCCAGTGTTTGCCCCTAAAGAGGAAGAGAACATTGACATTGACCCAGAAATGTTCTAAAAATAAAATTTTATTTTTACATGTCAAATTTCTTTTTCTCTGGCTCTGGCTCTGGTTCTTTCTTCTCTTCTACTTTCTTTTCTTTCTTTCTTTCTTTTCTTTCTCTTCTTCTTCTTTTTTTATTTATTTCAAATTTCTCAGAACCATATTTATGTAAAAGTTCTTTGTCCTTTAATAGCTCTTCTATTCTGTTTTCTATTTCATCTTCAAGAACAGCGCATGTGTCTTCTTTGCATTCTAAGAACTTTTGTTGACTTCATCTTTCCAAGAGGCGTCATCTCTGTCAAAATCTTTCATTGACAAACTTAAAGACTTCCTCTGCTTAATGTTTATTCTTGTCATATTCCCAGAAACAGAACTTTAGAACAAATTCACCTTTCTTGTTTACACTATGTAAGATTTTTATGACAGAAAGTTTTGCTGTTCGAAAAAGCTTGTTCTCGAATATAGATAGCGAAAATCGCTAGACATTTTCAAAAAGATAAAAATTTTTAATTTTTCTAAAAATATGTTAGAAAAAAAGTTTGCTGACATTGACAAAAAATTTGAGAATGTTTTAAACAAGAACAAGAGGAAGTTAGAAAATGCTCAGATAAAACCTATACATGACAAGTTCTTATTTGCTCAGAATGGTATAACAGGTCTAATTGCACCACCTGGGTCGGGTAAGACTTTCACTTATCTTAAAATGGCTGCACAACAACAAGAACTAGATGAGAAGAACCCATTCTATGAGTTAGTTGTTATTTGTAGTACTTCTGGTCAATTTGACCAAACCGTCAATTCGTTCAAAGATATTATAAAGAAGTCTAAGTTAGTATGTATAAAGGATACTGAGTTGTTAGATTGGATAAAGAAGTACCAAAGAAGGGTTTTGAAGTACAATGCTATAAATGAGTATATAAATTCGAAGTTTAAAGACCCAAATGAGGAAATGCAGAGAATATTAGAGAAGAAACACTTCAGAAACAAACAGAAAGAGATAGAATACATTTCGAAGAAATTGCAATCTTACGATTGGAAAACGTACCCTCATAGATGTCTTCTTATCTTAGATGACTTTGCTTCTCATCCTTTGTTAAAGAACAGAGAACAAGATATGTGTCGAATTCTTAAGAAGCTCAGACACTTTAACATCTCAGTCGTAATATGTGTACAGACAGCAAAGAGTTTAAGTAAGGATGTTAAAAGAATACTTACTGACATTATACTTTTCCCTGGATTGTCCGAAGACGATTTCATGGAACTTATGAAAGAGTCCATGGCAGGTAAGTTTGACAGACATGAACTATGGGAGAAGTACAAAGTCATACAAGACCCTCATACTTCTTTCAGAATTCACATCTACGCGAACAAAGTTCAAATTGTAAAAAGTCAAGCTTGAAAAATCTAAGTGTTTAGTCTTAGTCTGTTGTGGTGCTGCAGCTTTCGGTTCTTCTGGCTTTGGAAGACATTCAGGAAGAGGAACGTCGGATGGAAGAACTTTTCCTGTCTGATGGAAGAGTTCTTCCTGTCGGATGGAAGGACTTTTCCAGTTGGAAGGAAGGACTTTTCCAGTTGTCGGGAAAATTTTTTCTGTCGGAAGGAAAAACTTTTTCTGTCGTTCGACCAAAAAGTTCTCAATTTTCGAAAATTTGAATGGTTTACGGACGAACAACTGGAAAAATTTTTCCTGTCTGATGGAAAACTTTTTCTGTCGGAAGGAAAAACTTTTTCTGTCGGATGCAAGAGTTCTTCCTGTCGGATGCAAGAGTTCTTCCAGTTGTCGGGAAAATATTTTTCTGTCGGATGGAAGAGTTCTTCCTGTCTGATGGAAGGACTCGGAATGCCAGAAGGATTTGACAAGACAATTTAACTTATAGAGCTACCTGAGCCATCTGAAGTCAAGCGTAAAAATAAAGAGTGCAATTTACTCTACTTGTTTGAAGTTGTCAAAATACTCTGTTATTTTTTCCTTTAACAATGGCAAATCTTCTTTGAAGGTAAGAATTGTACAACCTTTCATATCATAGTGTGTTTGAGGTAACGTATCTTGAACTATCTGTTTAACATCTTCATTTGGTGTCATTGAAATCGGTAAGTTTTCGCGATAGAACCAATTTCTGTCAGATTTGTAAATCTTAGCAAGGTCGTAAAAGCTTTTGTTGTTTCTTCTGACTAAATGCAACATAACCATATCTCTGTCTTCTTCATTTTCCATCTCTTCAGTGTAAATCATATACTTATAGTTCTTTTCCTTACCTTTTGGTACCGAACGTGGTATTCTTTTCTGTATGTTTTTGTCTTTTGCTTCAAGCTTGTTCTCTAGCTCTTCACGTTCTTGTCTATGAAGTTCATCTAACATCATGAAAATATAACAAGCGTAACGAGGTGAAGCCCACATTGCAACAGCATTTACAAGAAGTCTATGTACATACCAACCTCTCAAACCATTTGGCAAATTTTGACGATTTTCGTACGGAATCTCGACCCGCGGTTTTCTACCGGTCGCAAACATATGAGGAAATTCTTCTAAAAGTTCTTTTGTCTGTTGGTTTTCAAACCAATGACGTGCTTGCTTTGTAGAACGAAGAGCATTCAAAATACTTTGCATTTGGTACATGTCATCTTTGACCGAACGAATGAGACGGAGTTGTTTGTTATACTGTATGTACTCGTATTCTTCATTTATGGCTTCATGAACGATAGCAGTTGTTGTGTTCTCTGTTGTTGACATATCTGTCTTTACATACAAAATAAAAAAATAAAAAAAATAAAATTAGCGTTATTTTCTATCTTGTATAAAAGACCAAAAATAAACGCTTTACATGTATTTTTCAGCAACTTCGTCAAATAATTTTATAGCTTTAGCTATCTCATCTACTTCAAACGTTTCTTTACCTTTTATGGGAGCACCATACATTTTCTCAAACTTTTCAAGCAGTTCTGTTTCAGCAGCTCTCATATCATTTACAAACACAACCTTAACTCTATTGACTGTACTGTCATATCTTTGAGTTATATTAAATGTTCTTCCTATCTTATATCTCTTTGTATTGAAGTCCTTTGGTTTCTGAACGATATAAAGTAAGCCTTCACTGCAACGTTCAGTATCGAATGAACCATATGTTATGAAATTATATCCAACAACTGGGTCAATCCAGAACAAAACTACTGGTATAAGACTTTTGTCGATGAGATATGTTCTTGTTCCATAGAATCTTACCGATATCATAAGCTCAGGATTTCTTGTCAAAATTTTCTGAGTTGAAGCATTTCTAACCCAGTCGTGGGATGTTTTCTTTTCAGATAGTGTTAGAATGTCTGACAAAGAATATTTGTTGTATTTCTTTGAGTATCTTACGTTTAAATCACCAATTCTAACCACTTTGGTGTTATTGTCTATCTTTTTAACTGTTTCAAACTCAGTGTTTGTCATTTCCTGTTCTTACATACAAAATAAAAAAAAATATTTTAAAAAAACTAACTTTAATTTTATTTTGTATAAAAGATACAGTTATATCATGAAATTTGGTCATTTTTTTACGATTTTCATGAGTTTTATGCAAGACCGAAAAAAGTCGGGGTAGCAATTTTTTACGATTTTCATACGGAATCTCTATCCTCGGTTTTCCGAGGGAAGCAAACATATGAGGAAATTCATGAAATTTGGTCATTTTTTTCGGCAAAAATATATTTTAGGTGGAACCAGGTCACTCGGTCACTCGGTCAACTAACATCTTTTTGAAAATGGTGACAACATGACATTTTGACAACAACACAGGAAATAAACTTCTTCGTAAAGACTTTGTCAAGACTTCTTCATCGTAATGAGCGTAAATGACCCAAAAATATATTTTATGTTAGCATGTTAGATCTAACACGTTTTCTAACCACTTTTCTAACATCGTAGAAAACTCAAGAATTTTATACAGAATTCAATAAAAATATATTTTATGTTAGCATGTTAGATCTAACACGTTTTCTAACCACTTTTCTAACATATGTCCTTACTGAAAAAGTATGTGTTCCATCTGTCATTTTACTCAGAATTTTATACAGAATTCAATAAAAATATATTTTATGTTAGCATGTTAGATCTAACACGTTTTCTCACCTCTTTTCTAACATAACTATTTACAAGCGTTTTACATGGTATATGTTGCGATGGTTCATGACTTTAAACAGTTTTGTAGCTTCTATTTCTTCACGAAGGATATCAAAAGTTTTAACTATGCCGAAGGTTTCTTTATATTTCTTCTTGACGTCAGATAGAAGGAAATCGTCAGCTGTTGGATAGTTTTTGTTCAGAAATGTCAACATGTCCATTTTATCTTCTGCTGGTTTCTCTGCTTCTTTCTTTAAATCTGCATAGTCGTTTCGCATACGTTCTATCTCTTTGACGGAGTAGTTATATTTCCTCATTGCTGCTTTACATTTAGAACATTGTGGGTTCATTTTAGCATTGTACATTGAAATTTGACCTGCAAGTACAACTAAGGCGTCAATGGTTTTCTTTAACTCAAAAGTTGCTGGTTTTATTTGTTCGTTCCATACTTTACCTCTTCTATCTTTATCTCTTATCTGCCATACACATTTTGCAACCAACGAAACAAAGTTGTCGTAGGTCTTAAATTCTTCAGATTTATATATGTCAGAAACATTTTTATATACCATATCGCAGTCTTTGTCCATGACTTTGTGGTTGCAATGAAATCCAAGAAACTCATAGTTTACCTTTCGTATGAACTTCTTTATTTCTACCGAGTCAGTTGCTTTGACTTCTATTTCATCGAATTCAGGAATAGTAAGCTTTTGTTGTTGTATTTCAGGAAGTTTAGGTAGATGGTCAATAATATCCTGCATTTCATAAAGATACTGTTCATTTGTTTCATCTTTCGCACTACAGTCTAAATCTCCTTGGAGAAGTTCTTGCTTTATCTTCTGGATTTTTGTTTCGAAAGTATATGAAGAAGGAATGAAGTTTTTCATCTCTACTAACATTGAAGTTGGATTCATAACTAGCGAGTTTGGTGCTGTAGTTGCTAACATGTTCTTACAATAAAAATAAAAAATATTTTTTTAAAAAAACTAACTTTATTTTTTATGTTTTTTATGAAAGTGTCAAAACTCATGAATTTCGAGAGTTTTCTACGATGTTAGAAAACGTGTTAGAAAACATGTTAGATCTAACATTCTAACATAAAATATATTTTTATTGAATTCAGCAACAAAATTCAAGAGTTTTAGACCATGTTAGAAAACGTGTTAGAAAACATGTTAGATCTAACCATCTACCCTAAAATATATTTTTGTCGAAAAAAAATGGTTCAGTTACTCACAATATTTTTGTACAAAACGACCCCAAACTTTTAACTTCTTTTCTGCAGCTTCTAATGTTATCTTAGCGAGTTCATATTCTCTAAATTCTCTCTTTAAATCTTCTTGTTCCCATTGGTCTAGTTCGTATGGAGAATCTCTATAACCAGAACATATCTCACGTTCATGTTCTATTTGTTTTTCATGCATTTTTCTAACTTCTTCTTCAAACAAAGGTTTTGCATTCTCTACTGTATCTTCAAGTTCTTCTTCATCTAACTTCTCATGAACTTTCTTGTCTAGGAGTCCATAATTTTTCCAACTGCTATACAATATTTGGAGAAGCCCACATTGCAATATAGTTTACGAGTCTTGGGTCTACATACATTCCTCTAACCTGTTTGATTTATCCGGAATTCCTGCATGAACTTTGTATAAAAAGCAACCCGCCGTTTTCCGCGGGTTGGTATATTCTTCACAAAATGCCTTAAAATACTCTTCCAGGACTTATTTTCCAACAACCTCTCTAAAGTCTTTCCTAAACTGCTGACACATCTTTGTTGCATTTATATAACCATCCTTGTCTCTACGTAAGACTTCAATACCGTTGTAAGTGCCTTTTGTGAATGTTTCGCCATTAGATTTGTTCGTGAACGTTTTTGCTTCGACTGACATTTCTGTTCTTACAATAAAAATAAAAAAATATTTTTTGGTGGGACGTCGGACATTCGTTTGTGGCTTAACCATCGGACCACAACGATAAAAATCTCTGCTCCTAGCAGTACTGCTACTGTCAGTAGCAGTACTTTTACTGACAGTAGCAGTACTTTTTCTGACAGTAGCAGTACTTTTTCTGACAGTAGCAGTACTTTTACTGACAGTAGCAGTACTTTATCGTCGAAAACCCTCTCAAATTTTCCTTTTTACTGCTCCTAGCAGTACTTTTACTGCTCCTAGCAGTACTGCTACTGACAGTAGCAGTACTTTTTCTGACAGTAGCAGTACTTTTACTGACAGTAGCAGTACTTTTACTGACAGTAGCAGTACTTTTACTGACAGTAGCAGTACTGCTAGTAGCAGAGATTTTTATCGTCCAACTTTACAAATGTAAACTCCTATCGTTCTATTTTCTTCACTAGGGTCTAACACCAAAGTAACCTTACAAATGTAAACTTATATCGTTCTATTTTCTTCACTAGGGTCTAACACCAAAGTAACCTATGTACATGAAATTTCACTGCATAAAAGGAAAAAACCTGCGCGAATCGGGATTTGAACCGAGGTCTTCGACGTCTGTAGCGAGGTAGCCCATACACTGAGCTATGAGCCGCTTGCATATTTTTAAGTAAAATATAGTATATTTGTCATACAGTGAAGGATGACCAAACTTAAAAAAATAAAACTAAAATATATTTTTTTCTATCTTAAGGAAATTCATGAAAATTCAAGAGGTTAGAAATGAGGTTAGAAAACGTGTTAGATCTAACATGCTAACATAAACATTATTTTTCAATACTTTTTCAGCACTTTTCCGTAGTTATATATGAAAGACAATTCGAGATAAAAGTCATAGTACAATGGTATTATATGCTGCACACCATTTGTTGTGAACCAAACTTGAAAGTCAGAGAAACTGTTACTAGGTGGTTCGTAGAATTTAGAAGCAAAGTCATAAAAGTCCTTACCGATACATAGAAAACTGTTGTTGCTTGAACTGAAACTTGCATGACACATGACATTTTGAGGGTCAAACACGTTTCTATAAACTGTCAAATCTGCTGGTGGAAGTATCAATTTAAATGGACCATCTGGTGGTAATGGTTCGTTCTGGTTTAGTAACCGAAGAAATTGTGCCCAAGAACGTTTGTCTACTCCCCAATATAAAAACTCTGTATCTCTTGGAGGGTTAATTTCAATCTTTTGAAATGAAACGGTGGAGTTCATCTTGTCATATTCTAGTTTCAGATAGTATGTTCCATTTAGTAAAGAGTGGTATTTTTCTTGAAATTCCCAGTAGTATTTGTTTATTTGAGTTTGAAAGTCATTTAGAGTTTTCTCAAGACTTTCGTCTGAACGAATTGTAAAGATTCTCATTTCGTCAAATTTGTCTATTAGACCATCAGAACCTTCATACTGCCCATGAAAATATACTGCGAACATAAACGCGTTAGTTCTATTTGAAAACAAAACTCTTCTAAATCCTATTGCCTTTGCATCTGAAGGACTTTGAAGCCAACGAACTGGATAGTCAAACCTGTAAGCTCCGGATGAAATTTCTTCATCTGATATAGTCCTACCGGCATTTGTAAAGATATAGTCTAACGGTTTTGTATCTGCTACTTTTGTTCTTTGTTTTTCAACCTGAAGCATTTAATATATGTAAAAATATATTGTTTTAAAAACGTTTTAAAATGGTATGCCATATAGCTTCTTGAATTTGTTAAGATATAGTCTAACGTATTTTCCATCTGTATCTCTAGCGTTTACATAAGCATAGCCCGCCTTAGTAAAACATACTTGTAATTTCCTATAGTTTACGCCGGTATAAAAGTAGAAAGAGTCCTGTTCTTCGCTATAGTAGTAAAACTCAAACGTATGCTTGCCATAGTCTGTAATTTCAATTGCTTCATCTTCTAGTTCGTCGACAAATTCGAATACTATATCTCCAAATTTGCCTTTGTTCTTATTGTTTTCAGAACGAGTGACCCAACGTAAGTTTTCAAGTCTATTGTCGTTTCTTATACGGTTTATATGGTCTACAAAAGGTAAATTGTTAGGGTTCGGTATAAAATGAGTTGCAATGACAATATGTTTAAAATAGTTTTTTCCACTCATATCCATAAGAGCATATCCGTCATTTCGCTCCCATTCGCTTAAAACTCTTTTTGTCTTTTTGTTTCTGACTTCAAATGACTCACAACAGTGAATTTCATATTTCTCATCTAACAAACAAGTTTCCCAACGGTCTTCTCCAACAAAATCGGCGTACATTTCAAATAAAATAAAAAAAATATTTTTTAAAAAATATATGTTTTTCTTTACTTTACATAACCGCCTGCTACCAAAAGTCTTTGACGCCAACCCATACCAGCTAATGAAGGTTGACTTGGTTTAGTCTCCAGACTAAACTTTGGTTTTGGCTCCCCTTCAGTTTTTGGCTTCCCTTCTTCTATCGGTTTTTCGTCACTTTTCGGTTCACCTGACCTTACCTCACTTGCAGGTATGGTTGTGTCGTTAACATCTTCGTAAATATCATATGCCATCTGTTTTTGTTTTCCTTTCAACTTTTTGTGTTTGTTGTAAAGTTTAGAATATTTCGACTCTAAGTCAATGAGATGTTCTATAATGAACTGTTCGTCAGTGAAGTAAACTTTTCCATCTGCTGTCTCTTTAGTTCCTTCAGACTTCAATATTTTATTTGTGAGAGTCTGTTTCTTTTTTGAGATACTTGCCGTTCCATTTCTATGAAAAGTGACTTTGTAGTTAGGGTTTGTATTTCCAGACCTGGCACTTTCTATTATTGAATTTTTCTCTTCATCTGTAAGTTCTTTGACAGGTTTTGACAATGGTTCTGAACTTTTTGTTTGTGGTGTCAAATCTACCGTTTCAACTTCTTCGGTCATTTCATCTCAGTAAAAAATTTTAGTTTGGTTTGTTTTCAACTGGTTGTTTAGGTTTTTTAAGTCGGTCTAAAACTTCCTGAGGTATAGGGAGGACTTGACAAACACGTGGTTGTGTAACTGCTGGAAGTCGACAAATCCATCTTGAACCCATTTGTCTCAATGCTGTATTGTTCATTTCATCTCAGTAAAAAAATTTACATTCCCCACGTTTGAGGCGGTTGCGGTTGGTTGTTGTTTACCCACTGTTGTGCATGGTTATATCCTCTGTTAAAGAATCTTTCACCTTGGTCCATATAGTGCCCTGCTTGGTTATAGTAGTCATTTGCTTTGTTATAATAGTTTCCTGCTTCTCTTCCTACATTGTCCATCCATCCTTGAACTTTTCCTCTTGTTTCAGGATTTGGAATAAGATTTGCTGCATCTCGTGCTACATCCCAACCTTTCTGTACAGTTTGTATAATAGGCTGTGCTTTCTCTTTCAGTATACCTAATGTACTCAAAATCTTCCTTCCAACT